CTTCGGACGGCACTTCAGCAGTGGGTCCTTCACTCACTCTGGGTCTTCGGCGGCACTGAAGGACCCGCCACCGAAGACCCGGAGCGCCGCCCGGTGAGTACTAGCGCCGCAGGGGGTGGTGCCTTTTTTTATGTCCCCCCTCACCCCCCGTTCAGAGTAAAAATTAAAAAGGCGCCACTTGTGCTCAATGGGGGAGCGGCTGCTCCCCCTGCTTCCCCCTAGCTACGCTACTGAGAGTCTGCCACCAGGATGGGAATGGGAATTGGAGGAGGAGGGTAGGCTGAGTTTGAGAGCTGATGAGTAGAAGCCAGTTGGCTGGGGGTGGGGGTGAGGGAGCAGAGGGATACTGAGACCAGACAAGGAGCTTGTGGAAACTGGATCTAGGAACCAATGTAGAGGGGGTGGGGGAAAACGGGGGAGAAGAAACATCTGAGAAAGAGCTAGGGTGTAGGAGAAAACTAGAACTTGCTGGGGAAGGACTGAGATGGGGATGAGATGCCTGAAGAGCAGAGACTGTAACAAACAGCCAGGGGTGGGGCAGAAAGGGGTAAATTTGGGGAGAAAAGTTCTGTGCCCACTAGACCGTACTTCCCTCCAGAGCCTAGGATAGAACCCAAGATTCCTGAATCTCACTCAGCATCCTTTGCTGTCAACAAATATCTATGAAACTCACTGGCAAAGAGTATCTTCCACCTCTAGTGCTGGTCACATAGAGGATGACAACCCACAAATTGCTATCACTTACTAGGTCTGTGGTGGATTTAATGGTTTCAACCCTGCTGCTGAACCATGTGTATGACAATATAACACTACATGGTAGGATTTCTGCTTGTTCAGTTTGCTTTTTAAAAAAAAAAATCTAGGAAATTACATACACAAAAACTACATTAAAAGATCATTAAGATTGCAAAGCCAAATACTCAAAAGTTAGGAAATACCCTTTTTATAGATCCAGACTAACACGGCTACCCCTCTGATACTATACAACCTCAGTTCACCCCCATTGTGCATGTGCATTATGATAGTCTTTAATCACGTGATCACATTTTTTCCACAGGACTCCTACTCCCACTCAGTGCATTGGAGGAATAATTCTGCAGAGGCAAACTTAATTATATTATTTCCTAAATTTTTGAGTGCTTGACTTTGCAATCTGAAATCTGTTTTTAATGTATTTCTGTGTGTAATAGTATTTATCAACTAATACACATCAGTTTCACTTTAAGAGGTGATTGTTTGAATCCCTACTACAGAATACTGTCATTTTTCAAAGACGACATGCCTTCCTCTGAGTTTTCTAAAGCACCAAGCACACTAGAAGGAATTTTGCTGCTCCCTGGAGGTCAAAGGGAAGTTTGCTTGCATAAAGAGAACTGGATGGGACCTTGTGCCAGTAATTCACAGCTTGTACAAAAACAACAAGGAGTCTGGTGGCACCTTAAAGACTAACAGATTTGTTTGGGCATAAGCTTTCGTGAGTAAAAACCTCACTTGGAAGTGAGGTTTTTACTCACAAAAGCTTATGCCCAAACAAATCTGTTAGTCTTTAAGGTGCCACCAGACTCCTTGTTGTTTTTGTAGATACAGACTAACACAGCTACCCCCTGAAGCTTGTACAAAGTTCTCCAGCCAGTTAAAGCTCTTCTTTTTCATTCTTCTTCTTTTGAAAAGAGGCGAGGATGTTTAGGCTTTTCTGGAGCTCCTCCTTCTTCCCATCACTCATTTTGTTCTTCTCAAGCAGTTTTGTGATCCGGACAACTTCATTAGCAGCAAACTCCTCTCCTTGCTCCAGGATTTTACTCATGATTTTCAAGTACTGCTCAGCCCGTTTCTTCTCTGTTTCCTTGGCTTTTGCTAAACTGTCCTGCCCCTGTTTGAGAAGAGCTTGACGCTCTAACTCTTTCGTGGTGCTCACAAATTTGCTTGCCAGGATGTCATATTCTTGTAGGCAGCCTGGCATTCCCAGATAGATGCCTTTACTCTTCAGCCAACGCTGAATAGCACTGGCTTTTATTTGGCCACTGTAAGGTAAGGGACTGTCAAAGTCCCCATCCTGGAACAAGTAAAAAATAGGATAGCTATCCTTATCCAGCTTGTATTTCTCACCCAACTCTGTGTTCAGTTTATCACCATAATCTGGGAACAGAAACGAAACATGAAAAGGATCAGTGCATTAATCAGAGCAAAATCAGTCAGTTGGATCCTTTCCTCTCCAACGCAATTCATGTTTATGTTTGTAATTACAACTCTGCTAGCACCCTCTCTCTACCAGGAATTGCCATAGGATGGAACAACCCAAATGTCCAGCAAGTCCACTTGCAAGAGTAACCATTATCGACTGCTTCAGAGGAAGGTGCAAATCCCCCATAATGTATGTATTTAACCTTGCTTTACTCTATCACTGATTTTGTCTCTTGAATTTGGGGTGGGATGGAATGATTCCTTCCTGATCCCCATCAGATTAGCTTGTAGCCTGAAGCATACAGACTGATAATACTCATTATAATTTTAGCTGATGTCCCTGCAGACACCGTTCTTACTAAGAATATGCTATATGCCAAGCAAATCTGTAAAATGACATCTGAAGAAACAGAAATCCCATGTGAATTCCTGAAGCTAGAATATGAATATACGGATTTCAGATATTCTACTAAGGTATAAAGGGTTTGTGTTTAGGTAGACTTCAATGCCTAGTGATGTATGCCACCTGGGCAGTCTGTAGAGGTTTAAATCCTTGGTTTACAGAACAGGCAGCAGCAGGGGTGATGGCAATTCAGTCTTCATTGCTTATACAAGCCTTGGCTCTTCTCTTGAGACTACCATAGCGATGTCAATTAGTGCCAATTGTGATGCCGACACCTCTCATAACCTCAGCAATGAATGGCAATGCTCCCTAGAGTGAATCAACAATGTAACACTTGTTTCCTGTGACCACAATTATGCCTCATAAGGCATATTCCAGAGAAGTGGGCCAAGAGGCTAAGAAAAAGCCAGATTTCCCTCTGGTCAAGAGGAACTGCAAATCAACTTCAATTCCATAACTGTGCTGAGAGACTTCACTAACTGGCCCATGGGGGTTGGGGATATCCAGCACTCCTACTCCCACCTCGCATGAGGCTGCGAGGGCAGCCAGCTCCACTACCAACCAGGCTAAGGGAGCGGAGCATTCAATAACTAAAAATGAACTTTTCAATCATTTATTCTTAGGTTCCCCCCAGCGTCATGCTGGGCCATCCTAATTCCTCTATGACCTCTCAGCATGCCAGCTACACCCAAAACCCAGCTAAAGCAGAGAGCTAGGTGATATTTCACAGTGCTTAAGAGGTCGAGTTGTGCCAATATTTTGTGTCGTCGTCGTCCCCCCCCCCGATGATATTACATTAGTCTTTTTACAGCTCACCTGATATTCCCACTTCAGCTATGAGCAGATCTTCACTGGAAGCTGAGCTTTCTGCTAGCTTTTTGAATTCATCTTGCTTCTCACCATAAGGATACTGGGTGTCAAATTTCACCAGGACAAACTTATTCTTTGGAATCACCTAGTACAAGAAAAACAAAGATGAATGGAGAAATTATTGAATACTTCATAAACATGCAATGAACAATTACAGGAATTCTAAATTGTATACTTCAGTATTTTGTTAAAATGGCTTATAATTATACCCTGAAAAATTGTACTTTCATTTTGCTTTTCTGAAGTCAAATTCTGATTGACATAATGGACCAAATTCTGCTCACCTTACTGGTAGGGAGCTCCATTGACCTAGAGAGTAGAATCAGCCCCAGCTGACCTCAGGGGGACATCTCAAGTGAGTAATACAAATAGGATTTTAGGCCAAATAAAATGTGACTGCTAGATTAGATTAATGGAGATATCCCATCTCCTAGAACTAGAAGGGACCTTGAAAGGTCATCAAGTCCAGCCCCCTGCCTTCACTAGCAGGACCAAGTACTGATTTTGCCCCAGATCCCTAAGTGGTCTCCTCAAGGACTGAACTCATAACCCTGGGTTTAGCAGGCCAATGCTCAAACTACTGAGCTATCCCTCCCCCCAATTCAGCAGTAGGACTAACATTATTTTAAATAAGTGAGACATTTGGAAGTGAAGTAAAAAGTGTTGCTCAGCAAATAGAAGCACCTTAGATTGCTAAAGTGAAAGTTTTTGAAAAAAATCTTATTAACTTGCCATCATTTGTGCTATTGGCTTTTAGTTTCACTGCTTGGACAGTGAAACTGGCCTTGTCAGGTTGGCACCAAACATACTGGCTCTTTGAGGTCAGCTTGGAAATGGACTTGTTTGCTTTCAGTCAAAACTTGGTTTGTGTCTACACCTGACACATCTTGGCCCTTTCTATGCTAAGTGGGAAGATAGTGCAGCAAATTCTTGCTAGGAATGTTCTGAGATTGCAGTAACTGCTCCCCCCCCTCCCCCAAAAGGCCATCCCAGGCATTTTATAAGCATTCGTAGTAACATATGCAATACCTGGAACAAAGTCTTTAATTCTGGTCCTGATGACCAGTGTAGTTGGCAGTTATTCTCCCCCCACTCCTCAGTATGGCTGAAAATCGCAAATACTGTAGCTCCACCCTGTCAGCCAGTCTTTTTAGTTCCATCCCACAATGTAGTGCTTCACATTTGGAAATTACCCCAAAGTCCTTGGTCCTAGCAAAAGATGCTATGGAACAAGTGCTTAAGGGGTCCCAGAATGCAAATACACCAAAACTGGTCTGTCAAAGTGGAGATTCATTTCAAGTGGATGAGATGAACTGTCATAAGAAAAGGTTTCAGAGTGGTAGCCGTGTTAGTCTGTATCAGCAAAAACAACGAGGAGTCCTTGTGGCACCTTACAAACTATATGCCCAAATAAATTTGTTAGTCTCCAAGATGCCACCAGGACTCCTCGTTTTTGTCATAAGAAAAGAAAACCTCCAGCCATGTGCAGTCAGTGCCCCTACCACAGTTACTTGCTTAGGGTGAATGTTTCCCTACATACTTTGAGAAACAAGTTAAATAAGCTGATACTGATTCAGTGTTATTACTGCATGGACCTGGAATAGGTGCCTAGTACCCCTTCTCCAGTGTGGATTAGAAGCCTGACCCGTGACAGCTGACTCCATTCAGCTGGTGTTCTTCACTCCCACTTCTCACTTCAATTTCTATTTCTGATCAATTTTCCTTCCTATTTCTAAAACCTGGCTCTTGTGCTTAAACATCGTCTTGCAGTGCTAGAAACCTAAATCTTTAAATAACAAAAGTACACCCTGTTAATGAAATAAAAAAAAATCAGGAAGGTATTTCCATTTCTACTTGGTTCTGGAAAAATGCTTTTCTACAAACTTAAATTTGGTGCTTAAACTACTTGCCTTTCCTTACTTGGAAAAAATAATCTGATTCTGTACTGCTTTGTCTAGGGAACTCAGGGGCACTTTGCATAGCCCATCCGCAGGCTGCTAAGAAGCATCAGGTAAGAGTAAGAGGCTCACCGACATGTGAGCAAATAACACCTAGTGTGGCTGTTATATACGGGTACAGAGGAGGGTGTTTCTGGATGGTCTTTCTTGCGGGAATGTCGCCCATGCCCATGAAATGCTAGGAGCCCGGCTGGGGCTGGACAGAAGTGCTTGGTGTAGGCTAGGCGTTGTGCTGCACCAGCAGGAGTGTGAGGGGGCAGTAGCTTGTGGCTGGAAGGAAACCTGACGGATGCGGCAATCGGACACCTGCTGCAGACAAAGACAGCAGAGCTCCGAGGTGCTCAGGACACCGCCTGCTCGGCCAGGAGCGCTGCCCCTGCTCCCACAGGTGATCACGCTGCACCGCAGCCTTGGCAAAAACGTCCAACCACGTTCGCGGCGCAATGGAGACACTTGGACTCCTGTGATTGGCCAGCCGCGGAGGCCGCCTCTCCTCTGTCCTTTCCCCATTGGCCACCGTGGCCCGGGGCGAACTCTTGAGCCGTTCCCCAGTGGCGGCCAGCCTGCAGCGGCTGAAAATGGCCCTTGCGCCCCTGAAAGAGGCAGGCGTTAGCTGTGCTCTTGCAGGGCTGAGCGCGCCGCCGCGCTATTTCACCCGCCACGGGCCGGAGGCTGCCCCATCTCAGAGCGGGGGGCGGGAGGGAAGAGACACACACTCTCTCTTTTACCTCCCCACCAGCCCTTTCCAAAATCCTTCTGAAAAGCGCAGCGTTCAGGGCACGTTCCGGCTGCAGCCGCCCGAGCCCTGCGCTGGAGCTGAACGGTATTTTCAATACAGCGACCCGTAGCTGTAAGGTCCTTCCCCGCTCCAACAGCCCGTGTCCCGGAGCGCCCCAGCGCAGGTGCCGCCGCACCATGCAGGCAGACACATGCAACCAGCAGCGCCCCCCCTTACCTTGTAGAAGGTGATGACATCCAGGGGCAGCGAGCCCTTGGTATGCAAAGCGCTGCTGCTCTCCCAGGCGAAGGAAAGCCAGCAAAGCAGCAGGGAGGAGACCGACCCAGCCCTGCTCCCAAAAGCCATGTCGAGAAGGCTCTAGATGGAGAGGACTTGCTTTGCGCGGTTCACGTGACCTGATCCGTTGTCACTGGCTCCCCCCAAAGGAGAAGGGAAGCGTCGGAAGAGCTAACGCTCAGCCCCCCAGCCCCCGGGGGACGGAGCAACTGAGAAAAGGGGCGGGCTGGGGCTGCCAATGCACCGCAGAGCAAACTCCCCATTACACGCTGTTCTGAAAAGCCAGCCCCTCCATTGCACAACCCAGGTGTCCTTCCCCTTTCTGCTTTGCTCCATTGGTCGTTGGCCCTTTCTGGCGGGCTAAGGGCACAACCAGCTCCATGAAGCCACCCCGTCCCCTTTGTTCAAAATTAATTCGTAAACCTAATCTTTGTCGTCCAGCTGGGCACGTGCGAGGACATGCTCAGTCCCAGAGCAGGGGCTATTCAAGGGGAACAGCGGTTTAGCCAGCTGCAAAATCTCTTCATTACGTTTGTGGACGATCTGCTTGGTCCCTTGAAATCTCTCTCTCACTGAATAGCTTTGCACCGGCCCCCCATCAATCCAGAGTAGTTCTGAGTTATTGGTTGGGTAATTAAAGGACCACACCGCTCTGGGATCCATTCCACTCCAGGAGAAGGCGTTCCACAGAGCACAGTAGAAAGCGCTGCAACAAAACTGTGTGTGTGATATCACCTGCCACCCAGCTCTAACTCAAACAGTGGTTATAGCTTAATTATAAGTGCGGGCAGGGCTGGCTCCCTGGTAGGGAATTTTAGCAAGACACCCCCCTCCCATGCACTAAAACAAACAATAAACCACCCTCACCCAGTGCTTGCCCTACCACTGGTTGGGCTGCACCAGGAAGACAAGGCTGCAGCGTCTTTGGGCATTTTTATGATGTTAATTAAAGCGGTGCCTTAGCTGGCATGATAAAAACAAACAGCATCGTGTCAGAATTTTGTCTAGACCCAGGCTCCCCACCTGTGCAGCTGAGCTGGGGATCAGGACCAGTGGGAATTTTTTTGCTAAAATTCTCTGGTGTACAAAAAAAAAAAAAAACCCAAAACCTTAGAACAGACATTCCTAAATTATGGTACTGAGAGCAGCATAGGGAGAGTGCTTGCTGACGGGTGGAGAGCGGTCTGGTTACCTGGTGCAGGCTCCTCTCCTAGTTTCCAGCTAGTACATGGTATTATAAATAGCTAAAACAAATAATGTATTGCTTTTCTATATAAGCAATTGCAGTAGTTGCCACAGGATCATGAAACCATTGTGAATGGAAGAGTGGGTCTGTGTAGTGGCGAATAGGAGAACACTATAAGACCACTCTTGTTAAGATGGGAGGTCTACACTGAGAAATTTGAGAACCTTTGCCTGCACCTGATGCTTACACTGTGGGGTGAAGAGTACTTAACTGACATGCACACACAATGTAATGCCACTACAGGTGATCTATACCGAGCCTTATTTAAGTTGAGCCACATTTCAGAAATGGCCCTTGAGCTACTTAGCTAATTAGGGTTGTTCTGTTCTCTGTGCATAAAGTGACCAGATAGCAAGTGTGAGTTTTTTTTTTTTTATTTACACGGGTGGGTATAGTTGCATATGTAAGACAAAGCCCTTAATATCGGGAGGATCCCCATATCAGGCCATGTGGTCACCCTATGTGTATATAATTCAGGTACCTTTCTTTGCACGACCCAGTTAAACTTTTCTAAACCTTTGGTAGTGCAGCTTTACAGTCACTACACACACACACACACACAAAAGGGAGGGGGGGGGAGATAAAGGGAAGCATATTGTTAATGGATTTCTGTGTTCTTATCCACAAATACTGTAGCATTTAAAACAAAAAGAAGTGGCAGCAGGTCAGCAAGGAATTAATGTGCAGAAATTTCTGTTAAACGGGTTTCCGTTTCACGTGGTACATTTATAAACATGAGTGAGGAGAAAAGTTTAACAAGCGTAACTGTCACCTCAAATATGTCCTTTTAGCAGAGCAAATGGTTCACCAGAGGATAGTAACTAATTAACCATACCTGATCCCCTCCACATCAGGGTTGACTTGCATCCAGAGGCATGGGGTTTAGGGGAAACTGGTCATGCTGCTGCTGGTACAGTAACTAGAGTCTGGCAACTTTCAACATCACTATGTTTACATAACATTTAAGAGAGTAAACTGAGATAGTAAACTCAAGATTAAGTTTTGAGTGTGCCAGGGTCAGATCTCTGTAAGGAAAGAGAGAAAGCAGCACAAGACATGGCTTGAGGAAACAAGGACATTTTGCTTCTATCAGTGTATTGGGATCTGGAGTGGACAGGGTACTGCTAGCCAAAAGAGGGGCAGTGATACCGACTCCCAGATGCCACATATTGCTGACTGCCAGGGCTACTCTATCATAATTTCACTGGCTGCATCCAAACATACTGCGAGTTCCTACTCTTCCTTTATTTGTCTTTAAAAACTTGGGAGGGGTGCGAATGATGCATAAACTGACAATGGAAGTTTCTTCAACACACTGCCATATGAACATGCCACAGAACATCTGCTTCCCAAATCCACTCCTGCCAGCAAACCATTCCCTTATTTTGCCCAACGCTTGTTTTCCTTCCCCACTGTTCTGTTTTCAGGCAACTTTTACTTCCCTTCATGCAATAAAAGGAGCATCTGGCTCGGAGTTTGATGGGAGATTAGCATTATAAAGCAAAACGGTGAAGAGAAGGACTTCAACTATTTCCAAAGATCCAGACAGAAAATGAAAGGCAGCAAAACTAATTTATAACGAAACTGACTTTTATATAAATTATAAACCCATCCAGTTTAAAGCAGATTGCTTGTGGTTGTGTCACTTAATTCCGTAGAAGGCTGAAAGCATACATAACTTCCACAGTCATAAATTACAACAAATAATCAGGAAGAGAAAGTTCAGATAAGGCTGCAGATGTAACAAAAGAACCCTTTTATATTAATGAAGGTTAAAATAAATCACGATTTAACATAATGATTGCAAAATATAAATGCAATTTTTGAACAGTTAAAACTGCTAAAAAGATACAAAAACAATGGGCAATACAGGGAGGCATTGCAAATTTTTCTTTATGCAGAGAAAGGCAGATGGAGAATTCTTCCCCTTTATCCACATCAGACAAATGATTTAAAGCAAAGAAATCAGTTGAGGAGGAAATCTGTAGAAGGATCTTGGCTCATGATCCCAGTAGTATAAAAGCAATAATTTTCAGTCTGTAAACAGTAGTCTTGGTAGCTTTCTAAACACACGGTTCAGTTAACCACAAAAAGGATAACAGCAGCAATGGGTTATACCCTGGATTTCCTATCAAATCCCAGTGAAGGTGTATGTGCTGGAGGGGGAAAATGCTCTTTACTTTAGTAAGAAATATATATTTAACTGTACACAATTTATAAGGATTGAGAAGATTCCCAAAGGCTCAGTAATTAGTTAACCATTTCTGCATACCCATCTAGTTGCCTCTTTTATAGAGAAACCCTGGAGTTTTAAGAGCATCTGATTTTCATGCTAGAGAATTAGTATAGAAACATCCACTGTGTAACAAAAGAATCAGACTGTTTGACATTAGGCTTAGGGTCAATTGGGTGGCTGCAAGTGGAAATGGGAAAACAGCTGTACCCTGGGAAAAACGGAACATTCCTCCTGAACTGGTATTGAGCAAGGTTTAAATGCTAGTGCAGACTGAACACAAGCATGTTCAATGCCATTTCTGAAAGCGTGACTGATGCTTGGTTCCACCCACTCTCAGAACTCAATCCAGCTGACTAAAATTAACACAGCCAGATGTATAACCCACTGGTTTCAATCTTGTTCAAAGGGAACTGATGCTGAAAAACATGTTTAGCAAGTTCTGCTTTCTCATGTACACAAGGCTTTAAGGCTTGTAGTCTAAACTTACTTCACTAAACTTTTCTACTGTTCAGCTCCGCTGGTAGTAGCAACGATGGACAGGAGCTCCAGCATAGACTACTGCACTGTCTGGTCTTGTTCAGAGCTCTCTGCAACCTGGTACTTAAAAGTGTCAGTGTTTGCCTGGAGCCCTGTCTACACTAGCCAGTCCTACTGATGTTTGCAAGGTGTGACTATTTTAGCCCAAAAGCCTAGTGCAGACTTCACCTCAGTGCCACTGTGCAATCTTCGTGATGGGACTGTTTTCACTTAAACTATGCATTTCAAATGATCAACTTCAGTCATGAGTCTTGTTTTAATGTAAATAGCACACTTGTCTTTCCAAAAGTATTTCCATACAAACATATACGATAGTTTGCTCAGGAAAGATGTTTCACTATAAAACAGAGTTAATACATTTTGGTATTGTTTTTCCCCCGGCCCAAAGCACTTACCAGACACTGCATCTACATCATAAGCACATCCATCACAATTTAAACACCTTGTAGGAAGTCCTCTCTCTCTTTTAGGAAGGGGCAAAGTAAAACTAAATCCAGCAAGAGCAGCAACTTGAAATTTTACACAGGGCTTTTAAAAAAATACTCTCATCAACATTCTAGCGTTTCTAACAAAATGTATTCAGAAGAGATAACAACACTAGGATTGTCAGCTCTCTTAAAACTTTAAATATAGATTTCAGATTATACTTGCTTTTCTTTAATTAGAAGATAAGAAATCTGTAAGAGTCTCAAGTGTCCCTCACATCCTAGGTGCAACATGTTCGTATTTGTGCCTATTTGTTTTATAGTGTGTCTGTATTACTCTTTAAATTAAAATAGCAGAAATGCAGATTTTATGGGATCAGATGATGCAATTACATTTCTCTAACAGAATTACTAATGTGTCTATACTTGGATAATCATAAAAGATCAGTTGCGAAAGGAAACAGTTACAAACAAAAGAGTAACATTCTCAGCTTCATACCACACTGGAAGCAAAAATTACTTCTGCCAACTTACAGCCATAGAAAGTTGACAGGACTCAATTCCATTACAAATTATTTAAGTACTTAGTCTTAAAATTTCAAGCCCCTTTTAAAGTCACAATGATTACTGTTTTACGGGAAACTGACACGAGATCAGAGTCAGTGGTGTCAGACTTCACTGCAGATATTATGTACATTGCCTCCAGCTTTTTGCTGAAACAGTGATCAGGCTTGTAATTTTTTGAACCACCTTTCCACTAGAAACAATCTGTATGTAAACTAACACCACTCCCTTCCTCCAACAATCGCTGGGGTTCAATCTTAGAGGAAACTGCATCGGTGCTAAGCATGACTTACTCTGACCCTCTTCAGTTAATGATGAGCATCACCGGAAGGCAGTATATGCCTAAATAAAAGATGTGCTTCCAATATAACGTCATCTGTCTCTGCTGGACCCACATGATATCAATTCTTTTTTTCAGCAGGGCCACATGGCTTGTCAATAGAATAGACAGCTCCAGAACTAACCTGCTTCAGTGGAAGAGGCCACATAATATGCTCCAAGGTTGAATGTGGGCATCTACAATTTCTGCTTTTCTAAGGCAAGGACCATATAAAACCTATAAACACTGTATGGTAGATGAAAATACAACTCCTTTGAGATATATGCTTTAGACTGGATTTCTATTGCTGCTTCTAAAGATTATCTCCAGTTGTCTCTGGAGACCAAAAGGGAAGAAAATTCAATTTTTCCTGTTGCAATATGCTTATGAACATGTATAAAAAGTGGTCAAACCCTGATGGAGGGTCCCTGCTTCTGGTTTATGTACAATAATTTAATCAGCTGAATATATCTTTAATACCTAAAAAAAATATTTATGATTAAAGTCCTTCATGCATTTATGAGGAAGTTCTGGATTAAAGTGATGGTATGTTGGATGTTGCTTCTGCCTGGGATTATGGTGTCACTCTGTTGTGAAGTCTTTATGCCTGGGGTGCATTTCTTAAATCTTTAGTTTTTTTATGGTATCAAGTCTCTTTTTCAGCAGCTCCCCAATTTCCTGAATTGAGTGCTGGTAACTGCTCTGCACCTTTCCTTGCACAGTCTTTGTAAACTTTTTTTCTTCCTGCAAATCAAGAAAACACAATCATTCACGCTGCAGGCTAAAGACCATTTTGTATTTTAAATTCCTCTGTAAAATTCCCCACACCCTCTTTGCAAATATTGAAATGGTGAAAAAAGTCCAGTTTGAAGTCTCAATACATCATAAGGGGGTTGTGGTAATAGTTTGAATTTATTTAAAAGATCGGAAAGCTCGTCAATCCAGAATAAAACCCCACAAGCAGTAATTTTTTTTAAATTTAATGTTAATTTTACCTATCACAGGATTATTAGCACATCAAAATTTCTTGGCACTTGCAGGAAACATCCTTGTATAATTAATTTAATGCCAAAAGATGGCTTCCCTTAACCCCAAGTCAGTTGCAAGACAGACATTTTAATCCAGAAATAATGTATTAAAGTAGGAAGCCTCTTAAATACAAAACAAATTGCTGAAATCGAAGTTTTCATAAGACTAAGGCTACGTCTACAAAATACTCCACTGGTGGTGGTGTGTAGGGCATGTGTAGCTAGATACTGCAGTGAAAAGCAAGCTGTGTCCATGCTGTAGTGTGTAGCTACACATGTCAGGGATAGACTCTGGCAGCGGAAAAAGGCTTCAGCAGCTCCACACTGCCAGAGCCTTTCACTGAAGTGAGGAAAGACTCTGGCAGGAGGGAAATCTCCCTCCCAGAGTCTTTTCTTGCTGCGGGGAAAGGCTCCAGCAATGAGACTCTGTCTCTACTGCCTTCCCAGTACTGGAGTCTTTTCCTGTGGAGGGGAAAGGCTCCAGCTGCAGGAAGGCAGTGGGATAATACACTGAAAAAAATAGCAGTGTAGATGGGAAGGCCAAGCAGAGAGCTGTGTAGGCTCATACATACCCACACCCTTCAGGAATGTCTTTACTTGCCTAAGCTGCACCTCACCAGCTACACTGCTATTTATATCCATGCCACGTACGCACTCCATATGCTGCCGAAAGAAGCGTGCAGTGTAGACGTACCATTAGTGTCTACTATTCTAGACACCCTCACAACCCCTATTTTCCAAATTCTTCAAACATGCATGAGTTAAATGGCAGACAGCAGTTTTGTCTTCTCAGAGCTTCAATTCCCACCTATGAACAACATTCCTTGGCATTATTCCCCAAGGTAAAATATGAGACGGACACTGACTTTCCTATGCCGAGTACAATGATATTTGTGCATATTTAAAGGGTTGTTGCTACATCTCAGCTAGTGCATCACTAGTTATGTTCCATAAAGAGCAAATTCTTGTCTGATTCAGCTGACACAAACTTCAATGACCTTTTCAAAAGCACCAGCAATTGCGTGCATTCACAATTCTCTGGCGTGCATGCGTACACACACCCACCCACCCCTTTGAAACTCTGGCCCCAAGTAAGGTTATACAGCTTATGCACACTGTTTGACACTCTCCCAGTAAAGTATAAATAATTAATAGCATAACAAACATAGTATGCAGGTAGGAAAACCCCACAAAACTCCCAGCCAATGCATTCTTCAGGGTACCAGAAAAATCAATACATATGAAACGTATGTTTTCTTTAGGCCTTTGCATTTCTGATTTCCAAATTCTTTCAATGCTTGGCAGAACATAAAGGAAATGTGTAGAATCTGCTGACTGAATGAGTTAGCAGAAAGTTTACTTGTGCCACTCCTAGATCATTAAAGAACCAGAAAAACAATAAGGTTTGAAGGGCTAAGGCAATTCTAGAAAACACTTCAAAGAAAATGTAAAGCGATAGGACAATTTGAAGTCTAGTGAATAAAGAAAAAATAAATCTAAGGAGTTTCATTTGCCCCTACCAGTTTTTGTAAATGTACAGCAAAATTTTCATATTTAAGATATTAAATTTCACACAGCAACAGTAGAGAAGAAAGACCAACAGAAATGGGGGAAATTGTACACAAACTGCAATCAAATGCATACGGTCAACAATGAAAAATACAATTTATTTTTCTAATCTTTCAGTTACAAGTCAGACCTCAGATGACTGTAAAAGCAAACTTGAACGCAAGCCCAGAAGTGTGATTTTTAAGTGGCAGGATGTATCTTTTAAATAAACCCCGTAGTTACAATACAGGGAATCTTGTTTTCACGTTAGTCTGTAAAGCTCCTAAAAGAATGTAAAGTTATGGAGGGATAGACAAGCTGATAACAGTTTGTCTGAAAACAACAGCCCCACAGATCTGATTCTATAACTGTGCTATGCATCTATTTTCCAGAGTCAATGAGATTTTTGTGGCTACAGACACTGCCCATTCAGTGTTTTGAGCAGCTACACAGCATTGTTCTACAGAGTTGGGTTTTTCTCTTCAGTCCCATTGGAAACATGTTTATATCAGTTCATACAATTCTTATAATTAAAAATTTTAACAGCCCCCAGATATTTTAGGTGAGGAGAGCATAATTTCCCAACAGAGAGCAATTCTTATACTCATTCCTATTTGGCAATAGCACAAAATCATGGTTCTCAAAAAACCCACCTCACTTGAATTATGCTATGACTTGCAACTTGTGGCCAACTTTCATAACCTAAGATGAGGCAAGAACACCAATCTTCTTTTGAGTCTTGCACTTTAGAAAAGACTCTCAGAACACATTTAAATATAAAGAAATGGCTAGTTCTGTGCGTTATTTGCTAAATCAGATCTGTACATCTGAACTCGATCCTCCACCACTCAACACCAATGATATTTTGAGGCGCTGAAGAGAGGCAGGCCATTATTTCATTGAAGGACAGATTTAACAAGTGGACAGTGAGTACGTCCTGTTGGAGGATAATGTGCTTATTTCCTGGTGTCATAATATCTTGGTCCTTCAGGGCATCTTCTCCCTCATTTAATTAGAGCAGCATTCACTGCTTCAAAAAGATCTCTTCACTGGGAATAATTTTCATATACATCTTAACACGTATTGTGCCTGACGTGTCTGGCACCTATAGATTCCTGTTCTTGATCCCCTCTAAACCGCTAAGAGTTAGAAGGGAGAGCCATTTTCTTTCATATGGATTCAGTAGTTTCCCTGACAACTTTTATTAGTCAGAAATAATTGAACCAAAAGGATTTCCTGTCACAACTGTGCTGGCCTTTATTATTTGATGTTGTCATGTCTTTCTAGACTGAAAATAAGAACATTCATTTTCATGGCAACCAATTAACGTCACGCACAGCATTTTGTTGTTCACATACTCAACTCACTTTAAAAAAAATAGATACATAGGTTTACAATTCTCAGGTTCCAGTAACATTTTTTAAATTAATCAATTTGTGGAAATAAGCAAGAAATGATCAGTTTAGGGAAAGTTACTATGCTGGACTCCACATGGTAGGAACTTTATAACTAGAACTCTACCACTCTGGGTCAGTTTCAATCAACTGTGACACTATTCTTTTTAGCTAATAGCAAACAACTGAGTCAGTCACATCAGTGGTTATAAAGCTTTTTCAATAGGTACCATTTAAAGAAAAAGGTGAAGTTAGCCAAGAGATATTCTCTAGGTTTATTTTTTTGTTTTTAAAAGAAATCACATAAAATAAGGTAGTTTCTTACCTGTGAAAGGAAAGTGTCATCTATGGACAGTTCTTCAAGTTTAAGTGCAGTCAGAATGATTTCGAGCCCTTTGATATGGTCTATAACATTGGAAGTTAACGTCTGTAGCTCAGTAACATAATCCAAAAAACTGGTAAATACAGGAGGCTACGGAAACAGTCAGAAGTGATATTAAAACACTTTTCCACCCATTTTAAATATTTTTGTATATGACACTGTAGTTACTATTTTAAAATAAAATGATTCATTTGTGTCCAAAATTACAAATGTGCTATTCAAATATAGCTTAAAAAGTAGTGCTGGCTGGCTGGCAAGCATTTCCATTTTGTGAAAAACTGAGCTCTTTGAATTTTGTTTTGATTATGCTATGTAATGAAACTGACTCTATAAGCCCAGTAATTAAGGCATGTACCTGGGAGACTTGGGTTTGGGCCTAGATGCCCTAACCACCAGGCTATAGAGCCAGTCAGTAGCTCAATCACTCCTGTTGGAGCTGTTCCATTTGGTATAAATAATTAAACATTCACTAGGTCAGAGAGAGTCTGACTCTATTGCCCAATGGGTGGGGCATGCCCCTGGGATGTGGGAAGCCAGGGTCAAATCGCTGCTCAGCCGGATTCCAGCCTGAATCTAAGAAACATTCTTGATGAAAGTTTCATCGAAACAGATCTGTTTCCATGACAGGTTTCAGTTTAGACCAACTGGCATTTTCCAACGAAAAAGAAAATCATTGAAAAATTCCCAACTAGCACTGTTCAAAATTACATTTCATTGAGTAGTTAACATTTGTAAAACAAACAAACAAAAAACCCCTCTGAAGATGAAAAATATTATGTAACTTGAGAGCATCCTCATTTTAGAAGCCTTTATCTAGAAAAACTTTTTTTGTGGGAACAGGTTGGAAACCACATCAACCTTGGACTTAAGATGGTTATATACAAAATAGAAATCATACTAACTCTATCCAACAGGCTAATGCATACACTCAGCAGTGTTGGTTATGATATATTCCATAATGATGCATTTTCCCATTAATTTTCAAAAGCACATAAGCGACTTACAAGTCCCACTTTCAAAAGTGGCTTAGGAGAGCTCCTTAAAGGAGGTTAAGCTCTTAGTCACTTTTGAAAGTAGGACTTCGGTGCTTTTGAAAATTGCACCCACTCCCTTTAGGGAAGCATCATAAGATTAGAACCCACGTCTCCATTGAATTGCCTACCATAACTACACTGGTTTCTTTTTTTTCTTTTTCTTTTTCTGTAAGCTTGATTTGAAGGGTCGCAGGACACTATCACAGTAACCTGACACCCATAGGGTGATGGACATTGTCTGAAAGGAAGAAAAACAGATGTACAAGTATGGTACAAATAGAATTAATACTACTGGAGCCATTTTTAAGTTCAAAATTACGTCCTTTATTAAAGACTTAAAATACAGTAATTGGGATATGAACGGAATGGAGAGATAGTTTTCATAGTTGTCCATAAAAAATTGGGATCTGTGCACGTTATTTATTATGCTAAAGTCCTGAGCACAGTCAATTCTAAAATATTTTACCATTATCTTCATCTGCATCTCATTTCCCAAAAATTACACCAGGCCCCTTCAAGAAACAAAACTTTAGGAATCTACACATTCTCCTGACTTAATTCCAAGTCTGGAAGTCAGGTTTTATTTTTGCATCTTCATCATGATTATCTGTATAAAGCTCAATGTGAAGAGGCAGGGTTCAGGGAGCCACAAGGTAGAACTCAGAAGAAAGCAGATACAGATTTCATCTTGTAATTGGGTTGTTGTAAAATAGAACAATTAAATGAGAACAGCAGGAATTTCCAAAGTGACCAAGAACTGCAGTAAATGAAAAATGCTTACCTCAACAAAGAAGACTAAGTTTTCTAAAATGTTAGGATGAGTTTTCAAGATGCCATCTCTGACTTCCATCAAGTCACTTTTACATTTATTGAACAAGTCTGAAAAAAGGAAGACAATTCTTATGTTCAGAATAAGGATCAACACAGAGGCTTACATATTTTTGATGTGGTACATATCTTAATATACTACATGAAGCTACAAAAAGACTGATTTCAAACTAGTGTATGACAGGATACAGTTAACTAAAGACTACTTCTAGAGTGGATACAGTTTTAAAATCATTTCTGAATGAATCTGTAATGCAAAGCCTTTGTCAAAAACTTGGTATGCAATTTTTTTCTATTGTCTTGTGCATTTGTAATTACGTGCACCTTTCACATCGGTACAGCCAGAAATGGAGTAGGAAGTCAGATAACCCAACATTTACCAGCAAACAGGTTCACCTGCAGGTTTTTAATAATAAACTGGTTTAAATCAAAACCCAGGCGGTCTGCTTACAGGAAGAAAGATAGCTACAGGTGGAGATGAAGGAGAATATAAGGAAGGTTAAGAACAGTAAAAGGCTAGTTTTACATGACTGTCCTTTTCTGACTGATTAAGAATCTTACTGCATTTTCACAGCATTCTCACTAACGTCAGTGAGATAAATCCAGCTCTCTTCCACTTACTGATATTCTGGTGGCTTGGTGTTTTTCCTTTTATCATGCAGGCAGTTCTCTTTATATACAGAAGTTTACCTTTAAACTTGCTAAGTGCTTTTACTCAGTTACAGGATTAGTGCTTGTGAAGGGTGCTGGACTGACAGACCTAGGGGAACACAGCTCCCTGTTATGCACAAACCTGATACAGCAGAGGCAGTACCAACTTTCCAACCGCATCTCACCAGAATGCCTTAACCTTGACCTGAAGGGAAGGTTCATTCACTCCTTGCTCCCTCTGCTAGGGCTGCCAACAAGGTTGCCAGTTAGTGCCTTGGTGGTGGTTTGTGAGATATACAGACCCCTGTATGCTTGGAACTAGACTCCGTTCTAACCCATTTCACACAATACCAGGCAGCAATCATACGTTGGTAAGCTCAGAGAGCTGATAGGTAAGGTCCCATGGGAATC